CAAATATTACATTTAATAATCATTACATAGAATACATATAATCTTCTATTACAAATATATCTTATTAATCAATTCGTAACACTATAAACATCACAAGATAACACAAGGAATAATGAACAGAAATATTTTCATTGACCATAATTGATTCCGCCGAAAAAAGGTATAAACAAGCATAGCAGAAAGAACAATGACAAATACTCAAATCTCTCAAAACCGTTCCAACCAAAAAAAAGTGTAAACAACTATGAACAGTATCAAATCTCTTAATAACAAATTTCCCCTTCTTCCAAATTGTTGAGATATATAGTCCCACATTGGTTGTATGTGCAACTAATGTGACCAATGTGGGACTATATTTCTCAACACAAATCATTCAAATCCTCCACATCTTCATTTGAGGTAATATAGTCATCCTTGAAAAATAAACCAAGCCGCTCGAGTGGGTTTTGAGCATGAGATTTATCCATTGCAACTCTAGAGCAATGTTTACTGCTGAAGTCTCCATAACACAACTTACCCCCACACAACATTTTAAGCTCCTCCCAAATCGTCAAGTCATTCTGTATCTCAACAGTTCTTTCAATCTACCAAAGAAGACACATAGAGTGAAACTTCATGTTGTCATTTTGAAAAACCATTATAAAAAATATATTATACAAGAACAAAACCTTTTGTATTCTGACTCGTTCAGCTTCTCTTTCTTTTTCTCTTTGCTGCTTAAACGCTTCATTGGCTTTCATTCTTGCAGCTCCCACAACAGTGTAAATGAAGCAAAATGCAACATTTATAAAAGCTAGAAATAAAGCTTCATAGTCCCCAAATCAAAAATCAACTAAGATAATGAGGATTTAAATATGAAAGCAATCATAAAGTTATATTAAACCAAATTAATTTTTTTCCCCAAGTATGGAAATGACAGATGCTATATTCACCTTCATGCTGCTTCCTTTCCCTTTCCTTTTGCATCTTCATTTTCACACCCTAAACAAAGAAAGGCAAAAGGAGTTGGGGAATAATGCTACATTCAAAACTACAAACTATTAAAACACAAGGAGAAAGTACCATAACCAAGATATGCAAAAGCCTTACCTGGTCCAAAAGTGTTTCATTTTGTGCTTTACGGATAGTATCTGCAAAGCGGCGCTTCAGTGTAGCAACACGGATAGCCTGTTTGGGTGATAACAGTACATCATAAACAGGAGTGCTCCATTCTGGAAAAAAAAATAGCATTTAGAGTCATACCAATTCACAATATAAAGTGCAGTAGCAATTAAATGAAGCATAAATGGAAAAGTTGACCTTCTCTAGAAAGGGAATCAGTAACAGGTGATGTAAGGTGAGAAGTATAACATCCATGTTCACTATCGAGACAACTTGCAGCCCCTTCACATACTATCCACATCATCAGTGCATTCCAAATTATCGAATAAGTTACAGGTAGAACGTCACATATCTCAAATCATTTGCAACGAATCTGTAACGACTTAATGCTTTGTACCTTTGTGTAAGTTTTTCTGAATCAATTTGCAACGAGTCTGTAACGACTTAGGAACCTCAACCTATATAATCAAAGTATTGCCACAATTAAAAAATATTATGCACATACATAAAACAAGCAAAATACAATAACAAGCAACATTATGTTACATCAATTCCAACACATGTATTACATTTTCGCAAATTCCAATGAGGCTTACTTCCCTCGAAGAAAACAATACTTACTTTAGCATGTCTTCCATCCAATGAACTAATCTTCTGGATTTCTTTCATTTCAGGTACTTGCATATTTTTGGGCAAGGTATCCTTTTGCAGGGGACGCATCCTATTACAAAATTTTCTCACATGTCCCCTCACTGCTCCAGTCATAATTTTTTCATTCTCATCTTCACACTTGCATTTCTTCTCCAAGTCTTTCCATTTTCTCTCAAATATTTTTTTGAGCTTCGTTTGCATTAAATGAACAGTATTCATAGGAGGATTATATGTCATGGCATTTGAAAAGGTCAATCTAACATCAGCTGCAAATTCCTCAATGCTAAAGTAAATATTTTTTTCCAGCTTGGATTTAATAGTGCCTAAATCCATGGGATGAGATATGACTGTAAAATAATCTGGAATATTCAATGCCACAGGATCCACTGGCTTATTAAAAGCCCAACCATGTCTGTGGGATGTTAGACTCTTCAGAATGGCAGTACACAGAAGAGATGTTTTCCGATCTATCTTCTGCCTTTTCTCTTTATGGCCCTCGATAATACCTTGTGGTCCTCTCTTGATGGAACCTGTCATAGAGGATTTTTCCTTTGAATTAGAGCACTCATTCTCATCAAAGTGGGATGCTTTTTCTCTAAATTCATACTTTTTCAATCCAGAATCAACTTCAACCCTTTTGGTAGTAAGTAGTAACTTGAAATTTGATTTCTTACCTTGTACTGTTGTTTTAGTAGCACCCATAACGATGTATTAAAACAAATTGTTTGAGGATAATGTTTTGATTTCCAAATTCTTAGAATCCAGAAGGCACACTTTGCTGCAAAGGCATCAAAGAAACAATACATCAATCACATATTGGATAACCCAAACAAGGTGCCAAAAAAAAAAAAAAAGATAGCAACAGTCCCAGCAAAAATAATGTAACCCAATTCAACAAGCATAATTAATTTAGGGATAAAATATAGCACCATACGAGGAAAAAAATCAAATATTAAATAACACCATATATCAAACACATTTTTGCGCAAAGTAAATCACATTTTTTATAAATTACCAAAAAAAAAATCACATTTTTTATAACAGAAACGCTGGCATGCATATACGAGTGAATTAGATTAAAAAAGAAATTGACATCAAAACACCAAATTGGGACAATTTTATTTTTACAACTTGCATAAACCCAGGCAAAAAAAAACTCAAAACTATCCAAAACCCATATTCCCCGACACCAGGAATAAAAAAATTTGGGAAAAACTTTAATAATATTCCTATGGTTTGCTTTAAAATCAAAAATACCCTTTAACCTTTTTTTAAACAGTAATGGCTCTGTGATATAGAAAATACCCATACCCTCTTTATCACCATTAATAAATTTATGTGTTTCTTTTATTATTGTCCCTGTTTAAACAACAAATATAATCACACTTTGAAGGGTTTAAATAAGAGCAATAATGGAGGAGGGGCACGCAGCTGTTAAGGAAGACTATGGTGTTTTCTACACTGGATGTTTTTTTATTCAAAAGCAAACTTTAAGAGTAAAATTATTCAAAAAAAAAGAGAGAGGAGAAAAGCGAAAACACAGAAAGTAACCAAGAAGTCCCTAATCCCGCCTAGTTTGCCATTCATATCGGAACGGAAGGGTTTTTTCTTAAAAAGAAAAAAAAAACTGAAATTTTGAGTAAGCAATTTTATTGAGAGAGAAGCAACTTTATGACAAAACAAAAAAAAAAATAATAATTTTTCATGACAAAACTGTATCGTGTATATATTAAAAAAAAAGGGCATGTTCGAAATCATTTGTCTACGGTGAAGAGAAAAAAAGAAGAGAGAGAAACTATAAATATGATAAATAGACCCCACTCTATTTTTTCTCTTTCGAGGCAGACAAAAAGTTTCTACCTTTAAAAAAGCAATCATTCCCCCTTAAAAAAATGGGGAGTGGATCCTCTCATGTGTAAAAGTGGTCATGTGGTCATGTTATTTGATCATAATCACTCATTTAAAAATTATATATTTTTCTCTCTCTTATCTCATCATCAATGAATGGTGATAATACACCTCCTGCCATTACATGACTTCCATCTACACCTAGCAATGTTACAGCTACGATATCTCCAGCTCTTGCAACCTTGCAGGCATTAGAGTCACGCTCCAATGAGCGTATTGTCCCCACAACAGCTGAAGGCATAACTAAGACCTACAATATATAAATGATACAGTTATAGAAAGAAAATAGTTTTATTTCATGTCGTGTTAGAAGAGTTTAGGCATGTGATTTCATTCCATGCACTGCTATATTATACAATAACCACATACAAAAAGGTTAAATTTCCAGGCTATAAAAACAAAATTCAAACTCCAATCACATCAATACTTTCTATCTGAAGACTGAAAAAAATTAAACAAAATTAAAAAGGAGGCCACCATGGTACTCTTTTGCAGCACCATTACCACCTGCAATATTGACCATCGGATCCATTACCTTGTTTATATTTTCACTAAAGCTATTAGAGGTCTTATACGGACCAACAAGTCAAATACAGATTTCACCGCAAATAAGATGTATCGTGACTATCTGGGGTTACACAAAACTGAGAAAAGAATGTCCTAAAACTTTGCATGACATTGGGATATTATTTTATATCATATTCAATGGAATGAAGGATGATATTGCACGATACATGCTTAACTAGCATTGTTATGGGCAGTCTTTACTTCAAGAGAAAATTTAGATTTTAGAAAAGAGAGGAAACTATATATAGATTGAGAACTTGGCAAAGTAACGCGAAATACAAGGTTGCACGTGAGGAATTGCATGTGATTTAACCCAGAACGATGCAAGTCAAACAATATTTGGTTTCCAAATCAGCATCTTCTTCGTTACATAAAATGCTAAAGCTATTGCTATAATAAAAGGGAAATTAGTGAAGGTAATCAATTTTTTTTTTGATTTTGGCATAAGTCTGATTTTGTTACATCTTATAGTGCTTTATTAAAATTTGTATTTAATGAAATGCATTTCTCTAGTATTTATGTTGGTTGTGTCATAGGGGGAATTAATTGGTAACGAAGAAGATGGAGCAACAGAGATCCATTTGCTGAAGTCGTGTATGAATGAATTCAAATTTCTCTGGCAGACCCGGGATTTTTTATAACAGGGGATAAAAATAAAATTATAAAATTACAAATATTATTAAGACTAATAGGAAATACTAACTACCCCTGATACTTCTTCAATGCATATACTTTTCATAATGATACAAATATGAAATTGTAATAGAAAACATAGAAAGCACAAATGAGTTTAAGTTTATCAGCAAGACAACGACACCAAAATATATGTATATATTTTTTTTAGGTAAATGATCGCCTATAATTATATTAACAAAATTTACAGTCTTAGAAAAAAAGAAACAAATGCTTACATGCTTTGATTTGTAACGACTTAATGTTTTGTACCTTTGTATCGAATAATGCTTTATACCTTTGCTTTAGCATTAAGTCGTTACAGATTCGTTGCAAATTATTTGTGATATGTGACGTTCTACCTGTAACTTATTCGATAATTTGGAATGCAATGATGATGTGGATAGTATGTGAAGGGACTGCAAGTTGTCTCGATAGTGAACATGGATGTTATACTTCTCACCTTACATCACCTGTTACTGATTCCCTTTCTAGAGAAGGTCAACTTTTCCATTTATGCTTCATTTAATTGCTACTGCATTTTATATTGTGAATTGGTATGACTCTAATTGCTATTTCTTTTCCAGAATGGAGCACTCCTGTTTATGATGTACTGTTATCACCCAAACAGGCTATCCGTGTTGCTACACTGAAGCGCCGCTTTGCAGATACTATCCGTAAAGCACAAAATGAAACACTTTTGGACCAGGTAAGGCTTTTGCATATCTTGGTTATGGTACTTTCTCCTTGTGTTTTAATAGTTTGTAGTTTTGAATGTAGCATTATTCCCCAACTCCTTTTGCCTTTCTTTGTTTAGGGTGTGAAAATGAAGATGCAAAAGGAAAGGGAAAGGAAGCAGCATGAAGGTGAATATAGCATCTGTCATTTCCATACTTGGGGAAAAAAATTAATTTGGTTTAATATAACTTTATGATTGTTTTCATATTTAAATGCTCATTATCTTAGTTGATTTTTGATTTGGGGACTATGAAGCTTTATTTCTAGCTTTTATATAATATAAATGCTGCATTTTGCTTCATTTACACTGTTGTGGTAGCTGCAAGAATGAAAGCCAATGAAGCGTTTAAGCAGCAAAGAGAAAAAGAAAGAGAAGCTGAACGAGTCAGAATACAAAAGGTTTTGTTCTTGTATAATATATTTTTTATAATGGTTTTTCAAAATGACAACATGAAGTTTCACTCTATGTGTCTTCTTTGGTAGATTGAAAGAACTGTTGAGATACAGAATGACTTGACGATTTGGGAGGAGCTTGAAATGTTGTGTGGGGGTAAGCTGTGTTATGGAGACTTCAGCAGTAAACATTGCTCTAGAGTTGCAATGGATAAATCTCGTGCTCAAAACCCACTCGAGCGGCTTGGTTTATTTTTCAAGGATGACTATATTACCTCAGATGAAGATGTGGAGGATTTGAATGATTTGTGTTGAGAAATATAGTCCCACATTGGTCACATTAGTTGCACATACAACCAATGTGGGACTATATATCTCAACAATTTGGAAGAAGGGGAAATTTGTTATTAAGAGATTTGATACTGTTCATAGTTGTTTACACTTTTTTTTGGTTGGAACGGTTTTGAGAGATTTGAGTATTTGACATTGTTCTTTCTGCTATGCTTGTTTATACCTTTTTTCGGCGGAATCAATTATGGTCAATGAAAATATTTCTGTTCGTTATTCCTTGTGTTATCTTGTGATGTTTATAGTGTTACGAATTGATTAATAAGATATATTTGTAATAGAAGATTATATGTATTCTATGTAATGATTATTAAATGTAATATTTGGGTGAAATAAAACTCTTGAAAGAGAAAAGCCAGAGAGAGCACTGTTGTGTTTTTCACTCTTGGTGTGATTGCATCTATAAAAATGAAAGTGTAACGTAAGCGGGGTGAAACCCTTCTGAATGAAACCTTAAAATTTTAAAAATCCACGAACTGAGGTAAGCATTTGTTTCTTTTTTTCTAAGACTGTAAATTTTGTTAATATAATTATAGGCGATCATTTACCTAAAAAAAATATATACATATATTTTGGTGTCGTTGTCTTGCTGATAAACTTAAACTCATTTGTGCTTTCTATGTTTTCTATTTCAATTTCATATTTGTATCATTATGAAAAGTATATGCATTGAAGAAGTATCAGGGGTAGTTAGTATTTCCTATTAGTCTTAATAATATTTGTAATTTTATAATTTTATTTTTATCCCCTGTTATAAAAAATCTCGGGTCTGCCAGAGAAATTTGAATTCATTCATACACGACTTCAGCAAATGGATCTCTGTTGCTCCATCTTCTTCGTTACCAATTAATTCCCCCTATGACACAACCAACAGAAATACTAGAGAAATGCATTTCATTAAATACAAATTTTAATAAAGCAGTATAAGATGTAACAAAATCAGACTTATGCCAAAATCAAAAAAAAATTTGATTACCTTCACTAATTTCCCTTTTATTATAGGGTTAAATCACATGCAAAGACTGCCCGTAACAATGCTAGTTAAGCATGTATCATGCATTATCATCCTTCATTCC